AAACGGAGGGGACCCGATTTGGGGATCGTTGACAGGACCAACCACAGAGGCCAAGCCCTATGTTGACTTATAAGGAAGAATATGTCTATTCTTAGGTGGCTCTTAAGCGAATAGAGTCGTTTAAGGCTTCTTCATCTGTTTTGTAGGCCCAAGGCCTCATTTTTCGGCATCTTGTGCGGAGTGTAGGGGATGAGAGAAGTTTGTGCAAATGGCTTAGGGCTTAGGGCTTAGGGGTTAAGGTTGCTTCGGGCGCGGGCTTTGGAAAGTCCCGAGGCCTGCAACCGCAACAACTCCAAACCCTTGGAGACCCTACACCCTAAACCCTGAACCCTAAACCATAATACCTACACCCTAAACCTAAACCCTAAACCCTAAACCCTAAACCCTAAACCCTAAACCTAAACCCTAAACCCCAAACCCTGAACCCTACCAACAGCCGGCACTTGCAACCGCGCAGCCCCGCTTTGATACACTGGGCGGGTGTCAGGTTGGGCTGGAAGTCGGGAGCGTCCGGGAACACGAGCCTCCAAAAAGCAAGTTGAGGATTCAAAGGGTTTAGGGTACAGGGTATAGGGTTTCGGGTTTAGGGTAAAGCTAGGGTTTGGGGATTTTTGAGGGTTCAAGGGGTTCTTCTCTAGGGTTTTTTTAGGGTTTTCTTGGGGGGTTTGAAGTGTCTCGGGTGGATTTGGCGTGCAGGGGGCTTTAAGTTCAGAGGAAAACTGACCCACCAGAAAAGGTCAGTTGCAAGCGCGTTCTCATACACTCATGCACACCGACCCGCGAAACTTAAACTTCAAAATCCTCAACCCGAGGACCACCCTAGACCCTAAACCCTAAGCCCTAAGCCCTAAACCCTAAACCCTAAACCCTAAACCCTAAACCCTAAACCCTAAACCCTAAACTATCAGCGCCTCCCAGCGGCGTCCCGCTTTCCGCGGTGAGGAGGCACCTAGCACATGCACTTAGACTCACCGGCCCCCCGGACCTGAAGTTGCAGCTAACCCTAAACCCTAAACCCTAAACCCTAAACCCTAAACCCTTTGGGGGTTGCGGGTTTGGGGCTTGGGGTCTAGGATACGAGGGCACTTCCTTCTCCAACAGCCAGGCCATAGCGCTTAGGGCGTTGGGCTTTCCTAAGCCCCATGCCCTAAGCCCTAAGCCCGAAACCTAAACCCTAAACCCTAAACCCTAAACCCTAAACCCTAAACCCTAAACCCTAAACCCCAGGCTACTTAAGGAAGTGGCTTACGATCTACAGGGTTCGGGTTTGGGGTTGAAACTTTTCAGAGACGTTTTGGAGCTGAGGGCCTGGGGCTTGGATTTATGGTGCAGACTAGAACCTTAACCCTGAACCTTAAACCCTAAACCCTAAACCTAAACCCTAAACCCAGTAAGCAGAAGTAAGTCAGAATTCCCCAAAACCAAGTGTTTGGGTGATAAGTCTTCCAAGATGAGAAACGTAGAAAGAAAGACGAATGATACACCATTGGAATGAAGATAACGCAAACACCATCCATAATGTTCTTTCTCTAATCAAAAAAGAAGAGAGAAAATATGCTGAATTCATATCCGATGTATCATGTATCATGTATATAAACCTAAGCAGATTCCTGCAATGATTTGTACGAAAATAGCAACTCCAAGTAAAGCTGGACTTTGAGGACGCCGCGCCAAAAAACCCAAGAATCACGAGCTGAAAACCCGAAGCCACAGCCCGCTGGGCCCCAAAGCCTCAACACCGAAGCTTCGGGGTTAGGGTTTAGGGTTTAGGGTTTAGGGCTTAGGGCTTAGGGTTTAGGGTTTAGGGTTTGGGGATTTGTGTTTAGGGTTTAGGGCTTAGGGCTTAGGGTTTAGGGTTTAGGCTTTAGGGCTTGAACCCAGAGAGACCGCCTTTGTCGTCTTTGCGGGTGGGGTTTTCCCACCGCGGCGGCGGCCCTTGATGCCGGCGGGGTCGGGGCGAACCTGGCAGCTCCCATGGCTTTGCGCAATTTTGGGGGGGCGGAGGAATTACCAATAGGGAAATATAGGGGCTCAGGGTTTAGGGTTTAAGGTTTAGGGATAGTATTCCCTTGGGGTCCCTTTGTAATGAAACTATAATGACCCCCAAGACCCTCTTCTAAGTATTTAAGGCCCCGTGTTATGTGTCTAAGACCCCCCGAAATCCGAAGCGTGAATTTTCGGGCTAACGGTAGCTTCATTGATGGTCTGGAAGACGCGGGGTTTAGGGTTGAGGGTTTAGAGTTTAAAGTTTGGGTTTTAAAGGGTTTAGGGTTTAGGGTACCACCAGGCACGCAATGCCCGCGGCGATCTCCAATCTCCCATGGATCGTGGCTCCTCGAGGCCCACATTGGCATAATTGCAATTGCCAGAGCTGGGCGTGGGATTCTTGACCCTCAACCCTAACCCTAAACCCTAAACCCTACACCCTACACCCTAAACCCTAAACCCTAAACCCTAAACCCTAATCTCAAGAGGCAAAGCCCCGGGGCGGCACGGCCACTTCCAAGTCCGTGGCATGGAGCCGATTGGTCTCCCAGCGAATAATTCCTACGCCGAGCGCGCTGAGCTAGAAGCTTTGCGGGCTCCTCCCAGAAGCGAGCACGCCTGAACGGCTGGATGCTTCACAGCTCCCAAAAGGCGCGAGGCGATGATTCAACGAAAAGTGCCATATTGTTGCCTGTTGGGAGTTGTCCGCTGGGATCCCGGGAGGCCTGGCTTCAAATGTTGGGTCCGGGAGTTTAGGGTGTTGAGGGCTTGTTTCTCTTTCTACTGGGAGTCAAGGTGGCCACTCCATTGAGGATATACACATCATATGATCAACAGCAACAGTCACGTTCGAGCAATCGACAAAAAGCCGGTCGCGAGGAACGCGATGGGAGCTGAACTACGCAGGGACGGTAGCGTGATGACGTACACAATATAAAGCTCCTTGACGGCTGACAACAGTGGATGCAATTCGCCTCGGCCCAAGACCCCTCAACCCTAAACCCTAAACCCTAAACCCAAACCCTAAACCCCCCAAGGCTACAAGCATGAAGTTGTTTGGGTCTCGTATGCAGCACTTGCGAGCTGAACTCTAAGGGCCAAGGGGAGGGTTCAGGGCTTAGGGTAGTTTGGTGCTTGGGGTTTAGGTTTAGGGTTTAGGGTTTGGGGTTTGGGTTTAAGTTTGGGGTTTAGGGCTTAGGGCTTGGCAGTCTCCACCCCCCCCAAACCTTCTCAAGGAACTCCCCACAAGCTCTCAACGAGTGATAGCCCGCTATGAGCGAGGAACGCCAGGCGCCAAAACCCTAAACCCTAAACTAAACCCTAAACCCTAAACCCTGAACCCTGAACCCTGAACCCAAAACCCTGAACCCTGAACCCTGAGCCCAAAACCCAAAACCCTGAACCCTGAACCCCGAACCCTCTCTGGGTAGCCCTGAACACAGCTAGCCGCCTTGGGGCGGCCCGGCCGAGTCCGCAGCGCCTGCGCCGCTGGCCGCTTCATGACGCTTGGCCGCGCTGCTTCAGGGTTTAGGGTTTGGGGTTTATATAGTTTTGAGTTTAGGGTTCAGGGTTTAGGGTTTGCGAGGGGATGTTTCGCAACCTCGGGATGGGTTGCAGTAAACATGCAGAGTGCTTCTCATTACTGGAACTTAGTTGCTGAAGCCTAGACTTTCAGTTCTATAGGGGATTCTGGTATCCCAACAAGTGTAAAGTGTGCTCACTCAGCTACTAAGGGAAGCTATCGCTTGTGGATCGCTTCTCGCAGTGGCAAAATGCGCAGGACCGGGGCTTATCCTCCCAAAACTGCCCCTTGGCTAAGCGAGGGCCCCCGTAAGAATTAGAACAGGATTTGGGGTGGTTGTTATAGTATACTTACAAAAAGGACTACAAGGGAATACTAGTAGTAGTATTTATTCCGACCCCTAAATTAGGTACATGACATGGGGCACCGAATGCATGAAGAGCCCATACACGACTTTGACTTCAAGGCCCATGGGTAGTTTTAGCTATACCGAGAAGGAAACCACATTTAGCGTTTAAGACTTAGCTAGAAGAGGGGGTTGGAAGGGGTCTTTAAGTAACCGAGTAGGTCAGAAGCACTTACGGCTAACGCTGCCCTGCTGAGGTGGGCCTGGGGGCGGGGGGGGGGGGGGGGGGGGGGGGGGGGGGGGGGGGGGGCGTGGGCTGTGGGGGGACATAAAGAAATAGATCTCTATGGGTTAATAGGGTTACACACGGATTGACGGCCCCAAAGAACTGAAAGCCTAAACCCTAGCCCTAAACCCTAAACCCTAAACTCCAAATGATCAACCCCAGTCCAGCCCAACATTCTGAGAGCGCACCCCCTCTTTTTCCTGGCCCTGGCATAGCGTAGGCCTTGCAGATGCCGGGCTCAGAGTCGGAGTGCTTCTGTCTCTCTGTAGGGTTTAGGCGGGTTTAGGGTTTAGGATTTAGGGTTTAGGGTTCAGGGTTCAGGGTTCAGGGTTTCCCGGGGGGGGGGGGGGGGGGGGTTAGGGTTTGCTGTTGCTGTTTCTTCTTGATTTTTGGGAACGAACATTCGTTCTTTCATTTTGAGTTTTGGGCGGTGGGGGTTCTCAGGACGGGCTTGGGCCTGGGGGACTTCGGCATCACTGCGCGCTGGGCCTCCACTTTAGACCCGCCGCGCCATGGCTTTCAGGCTGTGGAGGTCGTCGGGCCGCGGTGGAGCGGCGTGCCTTTGAGGGCTTCGGGCTTAGAGTTTCGGGTTTAGGGCTTAAGTGGTTTTGTGATGCACTCCCGAGCGTGTGTCCCCCAACTGAACAGGAGCAAAGACATGCCCTTTTTCACTTTGGCGCGTTGAACAGAATAACAAATGAGAAACTCCCCAGGAGGCCACAGAAACCCGAAGCCCCAAACCCTGCCGGCTGCGGCCCTAAAAACCCTCAACCTTCAGGACTTTCCCGCCTGCAGGTGCGAGCGACCTTGGTGGCAGCCGACCCCTGCGTGCGCGGCGTCTTGGTGCAAGAGTTTGACGCTCACTTCGGCTTCTTCTCCTCGGCAACCAGGCTTCTTGAATTCTTGAAATCTGAACCCTAAATCCTCAACCATCACCCTGCCCATCTTAACTCTAACCCAGAACCCTAAACCCGAACAGCGAACCCTAAACCCTAAACCCGAACGTTTGCCCGTGAACCCTGAATCCTGAACCCTAGCCTAGTCCCTACATCCGAACTTCATGCAGCTGCATAACCCTAAGCTGTCAGGACGCCTTCTTCGCCTTCTTGTCCTTCTTCTTCTTCTTGGCTTTCTTTTCTTTCTGCTTACCTCAACAGCTCTGGGGATCTGGTGTTGAGAGTTTACGGCGAGCAGACATGGGCACATTTTGTGGGCCCTTGGGTACCCGAAATACAAGGGCCCCGGACCCTCACCGTAAACCCTAAACCCTAAACCCTAAACCCTAAACCCTAAACCCTAAACCCTGGAGAGGGCACAAACATCCGATGCTTCAGCTGAGTGGTTCGGAGACCCTCTGGGTTTCGGATATGAAGCTGGGGAATTTTCCCTCTTACACTAACAGTCCTTAATCGGGATTATGATGGGGTACTACAATCCCTGTCAAGGACTGTTAGTATCAGGGGGAACATCCCAATATCAAGCTGTTGAGGGTTGAAGTTTTGGGCTTGGGGGGTTAGGGTTTGGATATCTTCTGGACACTGTACTGATGAGCCTCTTGAATCCTCCCCCGCAAAAAAAGAAATTATAATAACCATCGAAATAAGACAAAAACCTGAAAACAACGATCGTCTAACCCGAACCTTACAAACCCTAAATGCAACACGCAGCCGCCCTGGCAGGGAGAAACCCTCCCAAGCCAGAATCGCCCCAAATCCCCAGGACCCGACGACCGAACAACTACAGGCCTAGAAGCCTTGAGCCCTCAACGCCAGCAAGGGCTTTAGAAATTGGAGGTCATCTAGACCCTACAAAGCCGCGTGTTGAAACATCTTTTTGCAGGGATGTCCCCGGCAAGACTGCCGGGCAACTCAGGATCGAGCAACGGTTTGAGGAGTCTGCTATCATATCCACTTTTCCGGGCGTCACATGTGCCTCAAAAATCGTTCGCGGTCACCCTCAAAACCCTAAACCCTACACCCGAACCCTAAACCCTAAACCCTAAACCCCAAACCCTAAACCCTAAACCCTAAACCCTAGACCTTGGCGGAGGGGGTAGGGGGAGAAGTGTCCGCATGGCCTTCCGACTCAAAGCCCGAAACGCTAAACTCGAGAGACCTATAGACCCTAAAACACAAAACTCCTTCAACCCGAGTGCCCTAACCCTCACAAGTGTATGTATGTGTATATATAAATATATGTATGTATGTGTATATGTATATATGTATGTATGTGTACATGTATATATATATATATGTACATACATATCTCTTCATTGTTATACTTGTATGTGTAGACTACATATGTATATGCAAACTAAATGCCACCGGGTGTCGCTTCTTCTGCTTGGAGCTGGAGCTCGAGCTCGAGCCGGAGCTCGACGTCGCCTCGTCGGAGCTGGAGGAGCCTCGGTTGCGGGTTTAGGGTTCAGGGTTCAGGGTTCAGGGTTTAGGGTTTAGGGTTTAGGGTTTAGGGTTTAGGGTTTAGGGTTTAGGGTTTAGGGTTTAGGGTTTAGGGGTTCTGGCTTTAGGGTTCTACGGTTTTTGGGTTGAGGGTTCTTGGTTGAGGGGTTCTGGTTTTAGATGGTTTTAGGGTTTAGGGTTTTGGGTTGAGGGTTTTGGGTGGAGGTTGAGGGTTTTGGGTTGAGGGGTTTGGGTGTAGGATTTTGGGTTGAGGGTTGAGAGGTCCTTTGGGTTGAAGGGCTTGGGGTTTCGGGTTTAGGGCTAAGGGTTGAGGGTTGAGGGGTTCTTTGGGTTGAGGGTTGAGGGTTTGAGCGGTTGAGAGGTTGAGGGGTTGAGGGGTTTAGGGGTTTAAGGTTTAGGGTTTAGGGTTTAGGGTTTAGGGTTTAGGGTTTAGGGTTTAGGGTTTAGGGTTTAGGGTTTAGGGTTTAGGGTTTAGGGTTTAGGCTATGGAAACACACGCAAAGTGACACTTGGCCTATCCTGGGCAGACTGGTGAGGCTTGAGGGGCTCCCTGCCCTGCGCTTCCGTGCTGCAAAACCCTAGGCCATGCCTTCGCTTCAAACCCTAAACCCTAAACCCTAAACCCTAAACCCTAAACCCTAAACCCTAAACCCTAAACCCTATAGTTCAGGGTTCAAGGTTCATAGTCTTCGCCTAACACCCTACATAGAGTGCAGAGTTCAAACTTCATAGGATTCTAGGGCCAGGGGGGAACCTGGTACAAAAAAATAAACCCTCCTCAATCCACTGCCCTCAACAGCCCTCAATCCTTATGCCCTAACCCTAAACCCTAAACCCTAAACCCTGAACCCTAAACCCTAAACCCTAAACCCTAAACCCTAAACCCTAAACCCTAAACCCTAAACCCTAAACCTTCTCGAAGGTTGTTGGGCTGAGCGTTTAGGGCTTAGGGCTTAGGGTTTAGGGTTTAGGGCTTAGGGTTTAGGGTTTCGGGTTTAGGGTTTGTTTTAGAGTTCTGGGTCGAAAGGGTTCTAAAGGGTTCTAGGGTGTAGGCTGCTCACGCATCGGAATCGCAGAGCTTGGAGTATGTCCTAGACCCTAAACCCTGAACCCTAAACCCTAAACCCACAACCCCTAAACTCTTCAGGGTAGATGTGAATCTGCAAATCCAAGCCGCTTTTCTTTTTCTTCTTCTTTGCCTTCTTCGGCTTCTTTTGGGCCTGATCACTCATCCCCAACTCTGCCTTACGTCAGGATTCAACGTTTCGGGGTTCAAGGAGGAACTATCCTAAACCCTAAACCCTGAACCCTGAACCCTGAACCCTGAACCCTGAACCCTGAACCCTGAACCCTAAACCCTAAACCCTAAACCCTAAACCCTAAACCCTAAACCCTAAACCCTAAACCCTAAACCCTAAACCCAAACCTTAAACTTCCGAGGTTTTGCAGGAAACGTCCGGGATCCTCGACCACCTCCACCCGAACTCCGCCGCAGGGCTTGAGGTTCAGGGCTGGTTAAGGGTTCCAGGGTTTATATAGGGTTTATGTAGGGTTTATATAGGGTGTATATAGGGTTTATGTAGGGTTTATGTAGGCTGAGGACCTCAACCCTAAACCCTAAGTCCAAAACCCTAAACCCTAACCCCTCAACCCCAACCCCTCAACACTAAACCCTAAACCCTAAGTCCAAAACCCTAAACCCTAGACCCTCAACCCTAAACCCTAAGTCCAAAACCCTAGACCCTAAGTCCAAAACCCTAAACCCTAAACCCTCAACCCTAAACCCTAAACCCTAACCCCTAAACCCTAAACCCTAACCCCTAACCCCTAAACCCTAAACCCTAAGTCCAAAGCCCTACACCCTAAACCCTAAACCCTAAACCCTAAACCCTAAACCCCTAAACCCTAAACCCTAACCCCTAAACCCTAAACCCTAAACCGGGCTCAGTGCCTGCGAACCAGGGGGGCCTGCTTGCGCTTCAGCTCCTCTCTTCGCGCCTGTTGGCGCGCTTCGAGCTTCAGAACCTTGGCGGCCAAAGCTTAGAGGTGTCAGGGGTTTAGGGTTTAGGGTTTAGGGTTTAGGGTATAGGGTTCAGGGTTTAGGGTTTAGGGTTTAGGGGTTAAAATCCCGTGCTAGTCCTAATCCCTGCCCACCCAAGAAAGGCTAACTTTAGGGGCCAGGTGGGTAGTTCTCTAGACTAGGGTCCATTTGGGGGTCCTCAGTCGAAGGGTGCCGCAATGTATAGGGGACCCGGAAAGGGACCCGAATTCCGGGTTTAGGGTTTCGGGTTTAGGGTTTAGGGTTTAGGGTTTAGGGACTCAGGTGGGTTTCCTTGCCTTGGGTGGGCTGGCAAAGGTTCCCAAACTCCGCATCCCATCCCATGCGCCTCGAGGGCTTCAGGTGTAGGAGCGCCGGTTTGGGTTTGGGGTTTAGGGTTTAGGGTTTAGGGTTTAGGGTTTAGGGTTTAGGGTTTAGGGTTTAGGGTTTAGGGTTTAGGGTTTAGGGTTTAGGGTTTAGGGCTCAGGGCTCAGGGCTCGTCAGCCCCTGAACCTGCCCAGCACCTCAGCAAAGCGGCCTCGATCTCCTCGGGGGCCAGCAGCTCGCCAGAGAGGAGCGTCGGCGCCACCTGGAGGTGGGCAGAAGGTTGAGGGTTGAGGGCTTAGGATTTAGAAAGGTGTAGGATTTAATAAGGTTTAGGATTTGGGGTTTAGGATGTAGGGTTTAGGATTTAGGGTTTAGGGTTGAGGGTTTAGGGCTTAAGGGTTTGGGCCACGGTTTGGGATGTCGGGCTCAGGGACTTCGATCTGTGGGGTTGAGGGATTCGAGCTCCAGGAGCCCTCGAAAACCCTAATGCCAAGTTCTCCCTAAACCCCTAAACCTGAAGCCCTAAACCCTAAGGCCCTAAACCCTAAACCCCAAAAACCCGAAGCCCTACACTTCTCCGTGGGTACCTTCACCAAGGTCGCCGCCGGGGAGTACGCGGCAGCCAGAACCTGGGCATTCCCCCAACCATGGACGAAGCCGAGCTCTCAGTTCCTAAATCCCTAAAACCCTGAATCCCTAAATCCCTAAATCCCAAAATTCTTAAACCCTAAACCCTAAACCCTAAAGGTTTGGGGTTTAAGAGGGCAGTGCTTGAAGGGCCCTTTGCAGGTTTAGGGCCTTGAGGGTTGAGGACTTAACGGATTTCAGGGCTTCAGGTCTTCAGCATCTGGGACCCTGCACCCCAAAACCCATCTGCTGTCCTTTAAGTCCCCGAACCCTAAACCCTGGACCCTAGACCCTAGACCCCAGACCGCAGACCCCAGACCCTAAACCCTAGACCCTTAGACCCTAGACCCTAATAAAACCCAAAACCCTAAACCCTAAACCCTTTCCAGCGCCAGCCTCCTCGACGTGGTCCAACACGGCACTGAGGTCATCGGCGCGCTTCTCGACCACATCGCGCAGCTTCCGTAGCGAGGCCTCGCGCGACAGCTTGTCGTGTTTCAGGGCTGGGGATTTAGAGTTTAGGGTTTAGGGCTTGGGGTTTAGGGTTTAGGGCTCAGGGTTTAGGGCTTAGGGTTCAAGGTTTAGGGTTCAGGTTTAGGCCAGTTCAAGGTTTAGCGTTCTGGGTTTTGATTTGAGGTTTGGGCTGTAGGGTTTGGGGTGTAGGCTTTAAGTAGGGTTTGTCGGGTGCCATGAGGTACTGAAACCACATGCCTTTCGCAGTAAAAGCAATGCCGCAGCACAGAAGCCACAACCTGAACGGAACCCTCAACCCCAAGCCCTAAACCCCAAGCCCTACACCAGGCCCCAAACCCTAAACCCCAGACCCTAAACCCTGGACCCTAAACCCTAAACCCTAAACCCTAAACCTAAACCCTAAGCCCTAAACCCTAAACCCTAAACCTTAAACCCTAAACCCTAAACCCTAAACCCTAAAGCCTAAACCCTAAACCCTAAACCCCCCCCCCTTAAATTGGATCCCCTCCGGCCTCGTCCAGCTGGAAGCGCTGGGCGATGGCCCCGGCGCGCGTCATGTCTGGGAAGTCGTCGAACCTCCAAGACAAGTTGAAGGTCCATAGGGTTTAGGGTTTAGGGTTTAGGGTTTAGGGTTTAGGGTTTAGGGTTTAGGGTTTAGGGTTTAGGGTTTAGGGTTTAGGGCTTAGGGTTTAGGGTTCAGGGTTTAGGGCTACTTGAAGGTCCATGGGTAGTTATACTGCAGACAGAAGCCCTTGAACCTCAACCCTAAACCCTAAACCCTAAGCCCTAAACCATAAACCCTAAACCCTAAACCCTAAACCCCAGACCCTAAACCCAAACCCCAAACCCCAAACCCCAAACCCCAAACCCCAAACCCCAAACCCCAAACCCCAAACCCCAAACCCCAAACCATCTAGTACCGGGTCCATGATCTGTGTACATTGGCCCCTCCACAGGGGCAAGAGCAGACGGAGACGTAGCTTGATCGCAAGAGCAAAGCATGAAATGTCGTGGCGCCTCAGAAAAACCTCTAACGCGGACATATGGGAGTTGACGAAACTAGGGGACCCTTATAGTCGACCCCCAAATAGTAGAATTCCCTCATAATCAGCCCCAAATAAGGCAGAAACCCCCCAAAATCCACTATGATTCTGCAGAGAGATGCAAGAGTCTGCTAGAAACCCTAAACTCTAAACCCTAAACCCTAAACCCTAAACCCTAAACCCTAAACCCTAAACCCTAAACCCACGGAAACCCGAGATGCCAACTGCTAAGCTCCGTGGGCCGGTTTCGGAGTCTAGGGCTTAAGGTTTTTGGGGGTTTAGAGTTTAGGGTTCAGGGTTTAGGGTTTAGGTTTAGGGTTTAGGGTTTAGGGTTTTGGGTTTTGGGTTTTGGGTTTTTGGGTTTTGGGGGCTTGGGGTTTGGGATTTTGCGGCTTTCGGGTTTGTGGGCTTTTGCCCTGCCGATGAACCCCATCACCCCGCGCCCTAAGTCCTAAACACTAACCCGTTTTCTGCTTGCTTGGTTTTACGGTTTCGGGCCTAGGGTTCTCACAGGAACACGGAACGAACAAGGGCCAAATGGTACCCCTGACCTTCCTATTTGGGACACCCCCCCCCCCCCCCGCCCCCCCCCACAGCAAGACACCAGCCTGCCCTGCACGACCTGCAGACAGAAGTGCTTCAAGGGTTGTTCGATAGAGCTTTGGGTTTCTAGGGCTTATTGGGCTGGTGGGTTTCAGGTTGTAAGGGTTTAGGGTTTGGGTTTTGGGTTTTGGGTTTAGGGGCCTTAGGCTTGTGTGCTTTTAGGGTTTGGAGGATTATGGATTGGGGGGCTTTCAACTTCCGGGGTTCAGGGTCTTCAGGGTCTTCAGGGTCTTCAGGGTCTTCAGGGTTTTCAGGGTGGTTCTTCACAAACCTCCGGGCCCCCCCCCGGCGCCCAAAGTCCCTGGCAAACTAAAACTTTGGGTTGAGGGTTTCAGGTTGTAAGGGTTCAGGGTTAAGGGTTTAGGGTTTGGGTTTAGGTTTGAGGGATTCCCCAAAGTGCAGCACGAAGTCCCGATACCAAAAAGACCCGAAGCCTTGGGACCCCAACCCAAAACCCAGAGGGGGCTCAGGGTTTAGGGTTTAGGGTTTAGGGTTTAGGGTTTAGGGTCTAGGGTTTGGGGTCAGCCTTCTTCACCAGCGAGATGGCAGTGAAGGACGGGTCGGAGCAGCAGCAGAGGTGCTGCGCCAGCTTCGCCATGTCCTCCAGAAGTTCGGCTTCGAATTAAAGCGGAGAACCCTAAACCCAAAACCCTAAACCCTAAACCCTAAATCCTAAACCCTAACCCTAAACACTAAACCCTAAACCCTAAATCCTAAACCCTAAGCCCTAAACCGACAAGCTTCGACGGAGGCCTTCAAATCCCCCACAGGTTCGAGAAACTTGGGCCATCACCTTGGGCCCGCAATGAGTTCGAAACCCCAAATAATGGAAACCCGAGTCCCTGAACCCCAAACCCCAAACCCCAAACCCCAAACCCCAAACCCTATCCCTAAACCCTAAACCCTAAACCCTAAACCCTAGACCCTAAACCCTAAACCCTAAACCCTAAACCCGCAGTCCTCGTCTTGCCGCCCTTTGCGGCGCACGCGGAGCTCAACAAGGCGGCACCTGGGAGCAAAACTAATGAATGTTCTTGGGCCCCAAGTCTAGGTTTCGGGTTTAGGGTGTAGGGTGTAGGGTTTAGGGTTTAGGTTTAGGGTTTAGGGTTTAGGGTTTAGGGTTTAGGGTTTAGGGTTTAGGGTTTAGGGTTTAGGGTTTAGGGTTTAGGGTTTAGGGAGAGAAAAAAACCCACAAATCCGGCCTCGATCCAGCGATGTCTAGAAGAGCTGCTTGAAGGGCATGTATCCTGATCCTCCACCCTGAACCCCACACCCGAAACCCTAGTGTTGGGAACCTCTTCCGCAACACCCCACCTCGCTGTCTCGTTGAGAGCGTGCTCCTCGGCGAACCTGCTCTGCTTAGGCTCTAGGCTGTAGGCCTTCGGCTTTCGGGTATAGGGTTTAGGGTTTAGGGGTCAGGGCTTAGGGGTCAGGGTTTAGGGTTTAAGGTTTAAGGTTTAGGGCTTAGGGTTTAGGGCTGAGGGCTTAGGGTGTACTGTTTGCAATTGACTCCATAAAGTTGGAACATGGCTTCAGGACGATTCTTGCTGGAATTCCCTTTGGTAAGCCTCTTGGGGTCTGAGGATCATGATGTTCCAGCTGTTGGGAGTTTACTGTAGGGTTTAGGGTCCCAGGGCTTATGGTTTGGGGGTTCGGGCTTGGGGTTTAGGGTTTAGGGTTTAGGGTTTAGGGTTTAGGGTTTAGGGTTTAGGGTTTAGGGTTTAGGGTTTAGGGTTTAGGGTTTAGGGTTTAGGGTTTAGGGTTTAGGGTTTAGGGCTTAGGGCTGAAAGCTGAGGGCTGAGGGTTTCGAGCTTAGAGAGGATTTGGGGCTTTGGGCTTTGGGCTCTGGGCTTCGGCCTTTGAAGGCTGAGGGCTGAGGGGTTAGGGGTTCAGGGTAACCCTAAACCCTAAACCCTAAACCCTAAACCCTAAACCCTAAATCCTAAACCCTAAACCCTAAACAGCAGCAGGAAGCCATAAGCGAAACCTCCGCTTTGCACCTGACATGTCCCCTTCAGGGTGTAGGGGTTAGTTTAGTAGGGGGCGTATTTAGTTTTTAGGGTTTAGGGCTTAGGGCTTAGGGTTTAGGTTTAGGGCTCAGGGTTTGGGGTTTGGGGTTTGGGGTTTGGGGTTTGGGGTTTGGGGTTTGGGGTTTGGGGTTTGGGGTTTGGGGTTTGGGGTTTGGGGTTTGGGGGTGGGGGCCTCTCGATCTTCTCGTCGTGCTTGAAGTTGGCCACCTTGGTTGTAACCATCGTCTGGGGTTTAGGGTTTAGGGTTTGGGGTTTGGGGTTTGGGGTTTGGGGTTTGGGGTTTAGGGTCTAGGGTCTAGGGTTTAGGGTTTGGGGTTTAGGGTTTGGGGTTTGGGGTTTAGGGTTTGGAGTTTAGGCTAGACGTGGCTCTTCGAAGCTTAGGCTCAGCGCTTGGGGCTTCGGGCTTCGGAACGACAGAAAGAAACTCGCAACTCTGAAGTCTCAACTACAAAACTACTGGCCAAGCGCCTACTGCACCAAGGAGTGAAAAGGGTGCCCTTTGGATTTAAAGGGCTTATAACCCTAAACCCTAAACCCTAAACCCTAAACCCTAAACCCTAAACCCTAAACCCTAAACCCTAAACCCTAAACAAAAACAGGGGAACAAGGCAACTCTGGGACCTGGTCTATGGTTTAGGAAACAAGAAGGTTGCCCTTGTGGGCTTGAAGGGGCTTGTGCGGGGACCTTAACCCTAAAAAAAGGGGAACAAGGGCCTGCTCTGCGCATGACTGGAAAGCGCACGCCGGCGAGGCCAACGGCCCCTGAACCCTAAACCCGAAACCCTGAACCCTAAACCCTAAACCCGAAACCCTAAATCCCAAGCCCTAAACCCTGAACCCTAAACCCTAAACCATAACCCTGAACCCTAAACCCCAGAACCTAAACCCCAAACCCTAAACCCTGAACCCTAAACCCTAAACCATAACCCTAAACCCTAAACCCCAGAACCTAAACCCCAAACCCTAAACCCTGAACCCTGAACCCTAAACCCTAAACCCCAGACCCTAAACCCTGAACCCCAAACCCTAGACCCTAAACCCTAAACCCTGAACCCTCAACCCCAAACCCAAAACCCCAAACCCTAAACCCCAAACCCCAAACCCTGAACCCTAAACCATGCGAGGCTTTGGGGCGATGCATCGAAGTGGCGAATTGCCCCAGCTCCATCTCCTCCATCTTGGCAGTGAGCCTGGTTGGCCCTAAACCCTGAACCCGAAACCCTAGATCCTAAACCCTAAACCCTAGACCCTAAACCCTACACCAATAAACCCCAAACCCTATACCCTAAACTTACCCTAAACCCTAAACCCTAAACCCCTAAACCCAACTCTGCACCCTTCGCGGAATCGAGCCCTGAACTCTAAACCTCAAACCCTAAACCTTGGGGGCTGCCGCACCGGCATCACATATGCACGCATCAATCTGGATGTGGAACCTATATACTCTCACCATTATCAGTAGCCCACTTCACAAACGCCCTCATGAACCTATAAACCCTAAACCCTAAACCCTGAAACCCTAAATCCGAAAGGCCCTCAAGACCAAACCCCTGCAGCCCTCCCCGTATACCCCAAGACGCCCCAATATCAACCCGAGAAGCCAAATATACACCCATCATCCTAAAGCCAAAACCGGTAACCCGCCCCACCCCCGACCCCCCCTCCAACCCCCTCAACCCCCTAAACCCGAAACCCCCCAAACCCCTACCCCACCCTAAACCCTAAACCCAAAACCCCTTAACCCCTTCACCCCGAACCGAAACGTAAAACCCAACACACGCATAAACCCCTAGACTGGACCATAAACACCCTAACCCTAAACCCTAAACCCTAAACCCGAAACCCTAAACCCCTTAACCCCCGAACCAAGCGGCAATCTCTCCGGACTTCGGGCCGTGTCCAGCACCTCGTACAGCTTGGCCAGGTCCCTCGCAGTGGTCAGCACGTTGCAGCTAGGGTTGAAGGTTTAGGGTTTAGGGCTTAGGGCTTAGGGCTTCGGGCTTAGGGCTTAGGGCTACGGGTTTGGGGTTTAGGGTTTAGGGCCTATAGGGTTTAGGGTTTAGGGACCAGTCCACTCGGCTTGGCTTGAGGCGAAGGCCCGAACACCTTTTCCAAACCTAAACCCTAAACCCTAAACCCTAAACCCTAAACCCTAAACCCTAAACCCTAAACCCTAAACCCTAAACCCTAAACCCTAAACCCTAAACCCTAAACCCTAAACCCTAAACCCTAAACCCTAAACCCTAAACCCTAAACCCTAAACCCTAAACCCTAAACCCTAAACCCTAAACCCTAAACCCTAAACCCTAGCCCTACACCCCAAACCCTAGAGAGCCCCAAAAGCATGGCGTGAAGCCCATTCAGGCTCCGAGCCGCCTTTCTTTGGTCTGCTGCCTCTTCTCCATGATCTCATCCAACCTGGCCAGGGTTTAGGGTTTAGGGTTTAGGGTTCAGGGTTCAGGGTTAGGGTTTAGGGTTTGGGGTTTAGGGTTTAGGGTTTAGGCTTTAGGGTTTAGGGTTTAGGGTTTGGGGTTTAGGGTTTAGGGTTCAGGGTTCAGGGTATCTATTAGGGCTCAGGGTTCGAAGCCAACAGGATCCCTCAAAGCTGTCCACAAGCACTCGAGCCTTAGAGTTCCCTCGGGAGGAGGGGGGGAACATCTAACTGCACCCTCAACCCTCAAAGCTCTTCATGGCATGCCCGAAACCCTCAACACAAGGGGGTTTGGGGTTTAGGGTTTAGGGCTTAGGGTTTAGGGTTTAGGGATAGGGTTTAGGGTTTTGGTTACCCGATAACCCTGACACCAAACACTTTGGCGGGCCTCTCCACCGTCCCTTGGCCGATTCCAAAGTGGCCTCCAGAAAGGGTCATTGTGGCGGTTTCGGGTTTAGGGGGTTTAGGGGTTTAGGTGTTTAGGTGTTCAGGCGTTTAGGGGTTTAGGGGTTAAGGGGTTTAGGGGTTTAGGGGTTGAGGGGTTGGAGGGGTTGAGTCATTGAGGGGTTGAGGGGTTGAGGGGTTGAGGGGTTGAGGGGTTTAGGCGTTTAGGGGTTTAGGGGTTTAGGGTTTAGGGGTTTTAAGTTTAGGGTTTAGGGTTTAAGAGTTATTTGAACCCTAAACCGTACACCCTGAAGCTAAGCCCTACATGCTGCCAGGACCCTGCTCGCGGATCTCCTACGAAACCCCTATCAGAGTCATCGCCGATCAATGATGAACCCTAAACCCTAAACCCTAAACCCTAAACCCTAAACCCTAAACCCTAAACCCTCAAGTTTGGATCCAGGGCTTGCTGTCCAGCTGCTGCCGAGCCGACGCACGTCTCGGTCTGCCTTCTCGCCTGCGGCTACCCAAAAGGTGGACTCAGGCGGGCGGGGGGAGGGGGTTATGCTAATAAGAGTTTAGGGCTTAGGGTTTAGGGTTTGGGGTTTAGGGTTTAGGGTTTAGGGTTTAAGGTTTACGGTTTAGGGTTTAAACCATTTAGGGCTTTCTGTTGGGTCTTTTGTGGCTTTTTCGTTATTCTGTTTTACTGGCTGCGCGTATTCTAAACCCTAAACCCTAAACCGTAAACCCTAAACCCTAAACCCAAAACCCTAGGGCTGTGCGTATTGCTGCATGGCCTTGTAACGGGGGGCTCAGCGGCTCAGTGGCTCAGGGTCTAAGGGTCTATAGTTAGGTTTGGGGCATGTACAGTTTGGAGTTTAGGGCTTAGGGTTTGGGGTGCAGGGTTAGGGTTTAGGGTTTAGGGGTTAGGGTTTAGGGTTTGGGGTTTAGGGTCTAGGGTTACTGTTTTGGGTTTAGTCTCCAGCACACACCACTGAATGAAAAGCAAGCTGGTAGCGGCGGTGATATGAGGAGAACCGAAGCCGAAACCTTGCGTCCGAAGGCGATGACCATCCAAAACCCTCCACGGCCACAAGCCCTGACCTGGACTTGTCAAAGTACCCTGGACCCAAAACCCTGAACCCTAAACCCTAAACCCGAAACCCTAAACCCTAAACCCTAAACCCTAAGCCCGTCGAGTGCGGCCTCCCCTTGGCTTTGGCGCGTCTCCAGCGCCCTGACGCCATTAGATTGAGCACCCTCGCGCCCAAGCCCACTCTTTAAGTAGGGTTTAGGGTTTAGGGTTTAGGGTTTAGGGTTTAGGGTTTAGGGTTTAGGGTTTAGGGTTCAGGGTTTAGGGTTTAGGGTTTAGGGTTTAGGGTTTAGGGTTTAGGGTTTCGGGTTTCGGGTTTAGGGCTTAGGTCATTGAAGCTGCAGTTTTAGGTTGTAGGGCTCAAGGGGCGTTAGGGCTTTGGGTGGTTTTGGGGAGGCTTTCGGGCTGTTAAGAGGAAAGCTCCTCCAAAAACAACTGCTTGGCCTGGTTTGGGGCTTCTGGGGCGTAGGAGGTCCGCTGCCACCCACCCCAAACCTTTTCAACCCCAAACCCTAAACCCTTTCGAGGGTTCAGGTTTAGGGTTGAGGGTTTGGGGTTGAGGGTTTAGGGTGTGGGTTTAGGGCTAAGGGTTGGAGGGTGGGGTGTCGGGGTGTAGGGGTGAGGGATTGGGCTTGCGGTCTGGCGTGGCATTGTCTCACGCAGCGAACGTGACCCCCGCCTCTTCGCGCGCGCCTGCGCAGCGTGCTAGGGCTTACCGTTTAGGGTTTAGGGTTTAGGGTTTAGGGCTTAGGGCTTAGGGCTTAGGGTTTAGGGCCTAGTGTGTCAGCGAAAACTGGAACAACCAATAGACACACCGGCGGCAGATCCGTGCGGGTCCTGCACATCCCGGCACGGCCGTGCCCATACCCATGCCAGGCAGCCCCATGGCCGCCATGCCGGGCATGCCAGGCATGCCGGGCATGCCAGGCATCCCAGGCATGCCAGGCATCCCAGGCATGCTGGGCATCCCAGGCATGCCCATGCCGTTCCTTGTGGGGTGCAGGGGTGTTGAGAGTCTTGGGTTTGGAGTTTAGAGATCTCAGGGCAGAAGGACTTTGGGAGGTTTGGGGGTCCTGTAACTTGCACAATGGCGCAGCGTACCATTTTTTGGAGGCCTGGGTTATCAGTATCCAAGAAGAAACTCGGACTAAGGGCGTAGACATAACCTCAAGCCCAGACCCCAAACCCCCACCCCTTCGTCCCCATGAAGCCACGAAAACTCTCCCAGCCACGAAACTCGATTGCGTTTTTTACAACACTAGAACGCGCTTGAAGATCACATCCCCCACTTGGTATGCAGGGTTTCGGGTTCAGGGTTCAGGGTTCAGGGTTCAGGGTTCAGGGTTTAGGGTTTAGGGTTTAGGGTTTAAGGTTTAGGGTTTAGGGCCCTAAGTCGTAAACCAGCCAGGCTTCATGCCCATCATGCCGGGCTGCCTCACAAGGAGGCAACTCAACCAAGAATGCGGTTTTGGGTTATGGCTTAGGGTTTAGGATTGTGGGGTTTAGGGTTTCGGGTTTAGGGTTTAGGATTTCTCTACATGAATACGGGCTTGCTGTTCTTGATTGGGAGACTTGGACGTGGAGGTTTCCGACTTGTGCGGGGTCACGGGGTTTGGGGTATTTTGCTGGTGGCAACCCTCAGCCGCAAAAGACAGCAAGTACAGGGCTCTTCCTGGAGGCTCTTGGGTAGTTCTACCCCCAATGATAACTGCACTTCTAGCTCAAGTCTCCCAAGTAGGTGATCAGTACAGTTGTAACTGGGGTAACCCTGATCCCTCACCCAAAACCCTCAACCCTAAAGGTTCTAAGTACCCTTGAACCTTCAAGTACAACCCGTTACAGGGGTTGGGGGGGACAGGGTGCTTGGGGGACTTAAGGTGTTAGGAGGGACTTGAGGTGTTGGCGGGGAGATTTAGGAGGGTGCAAGGATCTAGGGGTCTAGGGCCTAGGGTTTAGGGTTGAGAGTTTAGGGCTAGGGCCTGGGGTTTAGGGCTTAGAGAATCTTGCCTTTGACGAGGTTGGGCCTAGAGATCTCGGTACGTGCTAGGGTGTTCGAAGGCTGCCCAAGCCCTAAATCCCTAAAACCCTGAACATCCTAAATCCTAAGCCCGAAACCCTAAACCCTAAACCCGAAACCCTAAACCCTAGATTGCACCAAGGGCGCACGAAGGCGGGCATCCCCGACGCGTCGATGGTGGGCACCCACATCGCAGCCCGGAAGGAAGACTCGCCTCAGGTTGAGGGGCCGATGGGTTCCGAAAGCCCTAGATCCTAAACCCTAAACCCTAAACCCTAAACCCTAAACCCTAAACCCTAAATCCTGAACCCTGAACCCTGAACCCTACACCCTAAACCCCAAACCCTAAACCCCAAACCCTAATCCCTAAGCTCTGAACCCTCGACCCTAAACTCGAGAACTCAAATAGCCCGAACGACTCGAACCCAGAGTAGGGCAAGCCTAAGCCCGAACAAACAAACGAAGGGTTTAGGGTTTAGGGCTTCGGGTTTAGGGCTTAGGGCTTATAGGGTTTTGGCTGAGGGTTTAGGGTTTAGGGATTCTGGCACTCTAGTTTCGGGTTCAGGGTTTCAGGGTTCAGGGGAATTCCCCCAGGCATCATCAAGAACTGCCCCCGGGAGCCGGGCCGGGGGACTCAGGCAGGAGGGCGCATCCTTCGTTTCATGGCCCGGAGAGAGGCACGCTGCGGCTTCTCGTCTCAGGGTTTTGGGGCTTTGGTTTTTGCAAATTAGGGTTTAGGATTTAGGGTCTATGGTTTATTTGGTTTAGAGGGCTTATGGGGTTTATAGGGTTCACAGGGTTTGTAGGGTTTATAGGGTTTATAGGGTTTAAAGGGTTTAGGGTTAGGGTTTATTGTTTGGGGTTTGGGGTTCAGGGCTCGGTTGCTAAGGTGTAGTATGTATTCCTACTCCTGATGGTTCAGGGTACCGCCAAGCCCTAACACCATAATTTGTTGCAGGTACCTAAACCCTAAACTCTAAACCCTAAACCCCCGGCTGCGTTCGTAGAGTTTAGGGTATCGGGCTTAGGCAATACTAGGCAATACCTCAGCTTGAGCCAGAAGGAGGAGCGACACCCGCAAAAAAAGCAACATCGGCCCCGGAGGTGAAAGAAGACACTTAGATTCAGGGTTCAGGGTTCAGGCTTCAGGGTTCAGGGTTCAGGGTTCAGGGTTTAGGGTTTAGGGTTTAGGATTTAGGGTGTAGGGTGTAGGGTGTAGGGTTTCAGGTTTAGAGTTCCATAAAGCACGCAACAAAAGCCTACACTTTGCAAGATACATACATGTACATACGTCGCCCGACAAGGGCTCTGAGTAGAGCCCTAAACCCTGAACCCCATCAACCCTTGTTCATGGTTCTGGTTCTAATTGTTTCATGGGAGAGAGTGGATCAATCTGGGGGCGGGCTTCGAATGGGTTTAATTACTAGACTCCCCCCAAACTACCCGCTCGTATGAGCCACAAGTACCTCCTAGGTTCTGGGGTGGTTGGTGGCGCTGGGCGCTGGACTTCAACCTTAGACGAAAAACACTGTCGAGTTTGGGGCTTTGAGTTTCGGATACCTGCCAGAAAGGGACCCATAATGGAAGCATGAACCATTTCGAGCGGCTGCAAACCCCCTGAAAACCCTCCAAAAGTCTAAAGTCCCTGAAGGCTCAAACGCCCTAGACCTGCGTCCTAGACCCCTGAACCCTACACCCTAGTTGAAAACCCTATAGGAGGGCGTTTCCAATAAAAACAGACTATCCCCTTTATACCCCCAATACTAGCAGCACAATCCCAGTTGTAAAGACCCCAGATCCCTTATTTTGGGGAAACCCTCCTATCGTCTGTTGACTTCAGCATTCTAGCTCTGCCTTCGAATTTTCGCGACCCGACTTTCCCACCTCATCTGGGGCAACTGCCACGCTGTAGCCCCTAACCCTAAACCATCCGCAACACACCTTAGGGTTCAGGGTTTGTGGCTGAACCCCTGTGACCCTAAAGCCTTGAATCCTAAACCATGAACCCCTCAGCCCCACAACCTTGAATGGGGGTTTCCGAAATTAGGGGGGTACCTGATTGGGGTCGGTATTGTAAGGAATACTATGTGGGATCTATGTTGGGGATTTCCCCATTTTCGTAAACCCCCAAATGATGTCTGGCTAGGCCTGTGCTAGCCAGGCCGCAGCGCGACCACCCCGGAAACAGAAGAAGCTGTCGTGCACAACACGCCGGCCGCCAGGATTCGAAAGCAATCGGTTTAGGGTTCTATGGGGATAAGTAACCCCAAACACTAGCATTTGGAGCTTTTTGGGGTTTTGGGGGGGGTCTGGGAGCTGAGGGGTTTAGGGTTTAGGGTGTCGAATGTCGGCTTGAGGTGTTTAGGGCGCATCGTAGGCCATAGGGGCATAGAGTCCCACTCACCAGCTCCTTCGCTTTGCTTGTTTCTGAGCACACGGGCCTCGAGCGTGCTGTGCAAGAAAGCCTGCTGGCAGTCCTCATGGCTTCCCTTGACTGACCCCCCGTGCTCTGACCCTAAACCCTAAACCCTAAACCTGAAATCCTGAACCTATCACTCGAAGCCACAAATCCCAAAACCCCGATCCCTAAACCCCCCAAAACTGACAGACAAAACAAAAGAAAAAGTGCCACTAGGAATTTCGAGTTTGGGGGTTACTGTTTCGGGTTTAGGGTTTAGGGTTTAGGGTTTAGGGTTTAGGGGTTAGGGGTTAGGGGTTAGGGGTTAGGGCTAAGAAGTAGACCTCAAAGACTTTGCGACCGCCCCAGCAGACTTCGCGTCGACAGCTGGAACACCACCCTCTCTGATTTCACCACACCTGTCTGACTGTGGGGTTCTAAAGGCCGGGCAGGGCTTAGGGCTTAGACATAGGGTTTAGGGTTTAGGGTTTAGGGTTTAGGGTTTAGGGTCGCACATGTTTGTCAATAGCCTTTCAAAGGGCACCGAACGAGAAGGGGTACGGCCGACGTAAGGCCCTTCAAACTAAACCCCGAACGGTGTTAAGAAATTGCTTTCGGAAATGGTCTACCCAAGGTCGGTCTTACGACCGGCTTCCCAAAGACAGGTGAACCCTAAACCCTAAACCCTAAACCCATTTGTGCTCAGAAAAAGTTTCTTTGCTTGCCGGCTCAGTTTCCCTGTGCGGAAACAAGCTCAACTTATGGGATTCAAACCCTAAATCCTAAACGGTAAATCCTAAACCCTAAACCCTATATCCTAGATCAGAAGTCATAAGTCCAAAAAGCTAGAAAGCGATCAAGTTTAGGGTTTCAGGTTTGGGGTTTGGGGTTTGGGGTTTAGGGTTTAGGGTTTAGGGGGTTTAGGGCTCTAAGCCCTAAAACCCCGTTGATTCCCAGCCCGGCTCAGTCGATGAAAAGCAGAGCTCGCTGCTCCGGCGTGAGGCCTGGGATCGAAAACTCATGGGCTTCCCTACTACCCCCCGCCCCTCTGTACATGAGGGTTTAGGGTTTGGGGTTTAGGGTTTAGGGTTTAGGGTTTCGGGTTTGGGGTTTAGGTTTAGGGTTGAGGTTTGCTACCCCCCCTTGGTTACCCCCTTGAAGAACATTCATTCGGCTGAATTGCCATAAGCCTAGGCCCCGCAAAAACCCCCCCCCCCCCCCCCCCCCCCCAAAGCCGAAAGCGCCCTAAGCCCAAAAGAGGGGCCGAAGGCTGGGCTACACTTGGGGGTTGAATACCCTAGCCCAAAAAAAGGTTAACCTTCTTTTATGCAGTAAGATTCTATATAACCAAAACGGTTAAAGGTTACCTGCCCAGTCCCTATGTGCACCAGGGCCCACCCCGTGCAGCTCCAGTCCTGTCGGGCTGAAGCGTTCCAAGAACCTGAGACCCTAAGCCCTAACCCACGGCTTTGGGGTTTAGGGTTTAGGGTTTAGGTTTTAGGGTTTAGGGTTTAGGGTTTAGGGTTTGGGGTTTAGGGTTTGGGGTTTAGGGTTTAGGGTTTAGGGTTTAGGGTTTAGGGTTTAGGGTTTAGGGTTTAGGGTTTAGGGTTTAGGGTTTAGGGTTTAGGGTTTAGGGTTTAGGTTAGGGTTTAGGGTTTAGGGTTTAGGGTTTTTAGGGTTTAGGGTTTAGGGTTTAGGGTTTAGGGTTTAGGGTTTAGGGTTTAGGGTTTAGGGTTTAGGGTTTAGGGTTTAGGGTTTAGGGTTTAGGGTTTAGGGTTTAGGGTTTAGGGGTTAGGGTTTAGGGTTTAGGGTTTAGGGTTTAGGGTTTAGGGTTTAGGGTTTAGGGTTTAGGGTTTAGGGTTTAGGGTTTAGGGTTTAGGGTTTAGGGTTTAGGGTTTAGGGTTTAGGGTTTAGGGTTTAGGGTTTAGGGTCCGATGATCTCGGGCCCGGGGCTGGCGATAGTCTGTGCCTTCTGAGGCACCTGCGTGAGACCAGGCTTTGATGGACGAGGGTTTAGGGTTTAGGGTTTAGGGTTTTAGGGTTTTAGGGTTTTAGGGTTTTAGGGTTTTAGGGGTAAGAGTGTTTTTTTTTTGTTGCGGGTGCTTTTTTGCTGTGGGTGCGGGGGCGCGTTTTTTTTTGCTGCGGGTGCGGGGGCGCGTTTTTTTTTTTGCTGCGGGTGCGGGGGGCGCGTTTTTTTTTTTTGCTGCGGGTGCGGGGGCGCGTTTGTTTTTTTGTTGCGGGTGCCGTGGGGTCGCGTTTTTTTTTTGCTGCGGGTGCGGAGCGTTTTTGCTGTTTTCTCTATATTTTACTATGAAAACCTCTATTTTCTCTAATTTTCAATAGGAAAACCTCTTTCTTCTCTATATTTGAATAGGAAAACCTCTTTCTTCTCTATATTTGAATATGAAAACCTCTGTTTTCTCTACATTTAGTATGAAAACCTCTACTTTAATTCGAAAACCTCTATTTCTCTATATTTTATAACGAAAACCTCTATTTCTCTCTATTTTTGTCTATATCGTCATAGTTTTCCTCTATATTTAATGAGGAAGACATGAGAGAGGAATACATGAGAAACTTATTGTCTGTGTTATCTCAATGTGTGACTTGCAATTAAAAGTGTTTTGTTCCTCTTGTCCTATTTTAATAGGAAGCCCATTATTTTCTCTGTCTCTGAATAGGCAAACCTCCATTGTCTTAACATTTGAACATGAAGACCTCTATTCTCTATATTTGAATATCAAGACCTCTACATTTTGATATGAAAACACTTTGTATGTTCGCTATATTTTC